TATCCATTATGGATTTATGATCAATTTGACATAGAGAGATACATAGTTAAGGGTCAAAACAAGATTTGAGAACCAAATATTTGATTTGCTATGACAATATGTGTTTGATTTGTTTCAAAACCTGGGGTCGATATGCTAATATAGTTACAACATCAAGTGCATTGGACTCAATCTCCGTCTCCGAGGTGACCATGCCTTGATTATTGAATCTCTTCAAGTCTCTGTACCGTTCGTTACGGCCATGATACATTTCTTGTGGCGTATGTCACCAATTATGCATAATGCAAAAACACAAAACAAAAAGAAATTAAACGCAAGAAGTGACGGAGCTCGGCCTAAAACATCACATTATACGTTATCGTGGTCCTAAATCTTTGAAGTAATGATTTCTAACACCTCTTTACCTTTTGATTTTCATTCTCTTGCTTTTTTATAGGTTGTCATTTAGGATTCTGACTTTGGATAAAGATTCTCCCAATTGGATTTGAGTTTTTATGAGTTGTTTGATGTTAAATATCACTAGCGTACTAAGTTAATTTAAAGACACAAGTTTAGTGCTAGCTATAGAAAGAACTACTCCCTCTATTATTATATATAAGATGTTTTTAATTAAATTACTTAAATTAATAAATATTGGTTATCTAATTAAAAGTACTGCAATATTTTAATTTTACTCTTAATTATTATAAATAAAAAATAAATCTCTTTTTTCAAAGTAAATTGATAAAAGTACTTATCTTTTTGTCTTTCTAATTTAATAAAGGTATAATAGTTCATTCATTAAAAAAAATATGCTAATAATATCTTATATTTAGAAATAAAAAAATATTTTAAAAAACTTTTTATATATAAAAATGAAAGGGGCATGACAATAATAGATTGAATGGCAATTCTATAAATTGCTAGAAAAGAAGAGGGAGTTATTATGTGCAAATGAATTATGGCGTATGTTCCCCTCAATTAACAAACACCATAATTATTCCCATTTACGATGTCTGTTTCATTTTCACCCGTTGCAAAATTTAATTATTAAATGCACTGCAGTCTATGTAAAGTCATGAAAATGCATTTTTAACTGTCAAAAAAATTAATTTTTTGCACTATAAGGATTTGAATGGAGGTAGTTTGTCATGCATGTTTAACACTTCTCTGCAGAATTTTTTTCATTTCTCCCCCTCCCTGAAGTCTATTGTTCTCCATTATAGCTCATGCCCATGTTTTTTTGTTTTCCTTGGGGTGCATCTCAATAGAACTGATTTGACAGGAATAATATTTTGGAAGAATGATAGAGAGGACCCATTTAATTCAATTTAGGTCTTTAAGTCTCAAATTTTAAAAATTTAAAAATTTGTTTTTTAATTTTATAATTTTATTGTGATAAATTTATAATTTATTTTCTAAATCTTAATATGATTAAAGAATAAATAAATTTATTTTTTTAATAAAATTTAAAACTTTAGTTGTAAATTCATCACAATAAAATTGTAAAATTGAGAGTCGAACTTGTAAATTATTTTTAAAGTTTGAAACTTGAAATTTAAATTGAATCAAGGAGACCTCTGTCATTCTCCCTAACATTTTGAAGAATGAAACTTTCATTGTAATTTTATATTGTGTGAAAGTAGAAAATGTTTTTAGATGAGTTATCACTAATTGGACCCAATAATACTCAAATCTGACCCTATCAAATAGTCAAATTAAAAAAATTTAATTAATGACAACTAATACTTAAACAATTTAATTAAAATATGACTTGTAAATAATTCAAATGATTAGTGAAAAATTATGCATTTAAGTTTTATTGGTTAGTTCCAAGTATTTGCAACCAATGAGATTATCATATTTGTAAGTGTTATGATACCTAAGTGCGAGTGAATTTAAAAAAATGTAAAAAGTTTCACCTTAGATGAAAATGAACTCAATAACTAATATGTATAATAAAGGAAAAGGGACTCAGAAATTTAAACTTTAAGATTTTAAGTTAACATGTGATGTTTTTCTATTGTTTATGCTCATTTTTCCTCTCCACCATCCAAGTGTGTGTAAACTTAAAACGATATGGAAAGCTTCATATTGAATAAAATTAATTTTAATAACTAATGTATAATAAAAAAATGAATATTAGATTTTGTGTTAATATGTAATGTGATTTCACTATTCTTACTTGTTTCTCCACTCCCTCCATTTTTGAGTTATTGCTTCTCATTCTTAACTATAAGTGTTTAAATTAATATTTTTAGCTCATCTTTCAACAATTTACTTTTAATATCTAATTCATATTAAATTAACTTGTTTGCGACCTAAGTCTCATTCACCGTAATGTTTTCCCTTTGTTTTGTTTTTTTTAAGCAAACATGAACGGAAAAGGGAAACTACCTAACATGTACTTTTGTACATAGTTTAATTAATTGTCATTGGATTAAATCACCAACATAGATAATCTCCTGCCACATTTCTCAAGTTGTCTTTGAAGTCAAATCTTTACTACTGTTGATTCTATCCAATGGTAAAGATGTATTTATTTTCCTTACAAAGAAGTGGTTAAGATATTTACAATAATAACAAATTTTATTCTATTAGATAAGATCAATTATATAAATTACACAATATTCTAATGCTTTATCATCAACCAAACATTTATAAATATTACTAATCAAGATATCTAATTCAACAACTTCAATAAATATTTCCTTTGGTCTTCCTTTCTTTGTTTTTACAAGATTTAAGGCTATCTATTACATTATTTTCACTATACCTTCTTTGTAAAATATTTACTAGTGATTTTAAAATTGAATTGGACGGTTAGACCCATTCGAATTTCAATTCGATCAATATATGAAAATTTTTTTGGAAGTTGAGCTAGATTGGGCTGTTTTAGACCAAAATCAAACTAAAAATTGAATCTAATTTTTAAGTATTGGGTTGTTCAAAAAAAAATTAATTTTTTTTAAAATTTTTTTAAAAAATGATCAATTTTTTTAATCATTTGATGTTATGTTGTATTATGTGACTTATTATGTCATGATAAATCTAAAATATGTAATTTTTTTAAGTCAAGTAGCAATTTCATATTTATTTTTTATATTTAAATTATTATATATATATATATAATTTTTTGAATTTAATTATTATATTTTCGACTTGATTATTGATCTAACTCGATTAAGTCATGCGAACTATAAATTATTAACTTTTTTAATTTAATATTCAATTTGATTTTGAAAATATTGATATTTACATATTTACAAAATTGATTTAATTTTTTCAATAATTTTTCTACAATTGAATTCATGAAAACAGAGGCCCACCCACCCCAATAAATCTCCACATTGGTAAATGTAAAAACTCTGTCCTTAATTACCACTTTTCCAGCATGTCTATTGGCTTTTTTAGACCCCACAGCTCACATGTCTATTGTTTATAATTTAATAAAAATTAACTATCACATGCCAACGGAATTGTCCGGAAATGTAAAGTTAAACAGCTGCAATTAAATTAAGATTGGCCAGCTGGCCAAAATAAATTAAACTAAGATTGAATATTGTTGGATCTCTAGATCTCGAATCATCACATAAGATTTCGTATCCTTACATGCACGCAACAATTGACCAATATTATAACTTACCGAGATTTTTTTATTTTCAAATTCTTCAATTTTTAACATTAGTATAGAAGTATTTTGTTAAAAATTCCAAAGTACTTAATTATTTATTCATAATTATATTAAAATTTAAAAAAAATACCAAATTGCTCTTATAATTTAATTGTCTACCCTCCTCCAATTAAAGAACTTTAAATGATAAGTATGAAAATATTTCAATGAATAATTTAAAAATATTGCGTTAAAATTAATAAATTTAATAGAAAATAAAAATAAATTATATTGACTCATTAATTCATCCCATGTTATTTTAAATTCATATTTCATTAATTTGTTTATTGTCAATGCGTATTTGAGATATTATTTAATTTAACACATGTACTTAAATTTTAAAAACTTACTAAATATATAAGTTTACATAATAAAAAAATTAAAATATAATTTTACCCCAAAAAAATTTCTTTTGGATAACTTAAATGATTTTTAGACAATAATACTGTTCAAAGAGGAGCACTTTAACCCAAATAACATCACTTTCAAATAACAGTTAATTGGATGGGGGAAAAAAAAAAGTAGTCTTCAAAAAAGAGAGAAGCGTTTGAATTTTGTGGCTGTATAAATTAAGGGAAGGTACTTATAATTAAGATAAAATAAAGATGAGGTTAATACATTTCACCATAACTTATAATTTATTGTCATTATATTTTATATATATGTGCGGGCCGCGGCCCCCCCCCCCCAAAAAAAAAAAAAACTTGATTATAAAATGGTCAATCTATCTTTTTCTTTTTTCTGTTGTATACATCTATATTATAGCACAAAAATGTCGGATAATTTCTAATCAACGTACCAGCAACTGGCAAGTGAGTTTGCCACAAAATATTTTTATTTATAAATTGTCTTATATAATTTTTAATACAAAATAAATTTTCTTCTAAAAAATTTGTGTCAACATGTGTTAGTTCTGATGAAAGACAGTTGGCCCGTTAAAGCACGAGGTCACAAGTTTAAATTTTTATCAATGCAAAAACCATATTTGAAAGGGTTATTTTTACTTAGCTCTAATAATATTGAAATCTAATCCAATCAAATAATCATATAAAAAATGAATGAGAAGTTTGTAATTTATCATCCACTATATTGATTCTTCACATTAATTATACTAGACAAGAAGAAATTTTATTACTAATATTTCCATAATTCCTAAATATCACAGAATATGAGTCTAACTCTTATTAGTTATTAACAAATCTTCATTGGCAAGTTCTCACTAAATTTTTTCATTAAACATTTCTATAATTTCTTGCGAACCCATGATTGTACTCCCAAATCTATGAAGATAATACAGCATGTAAAATGTTGCAATGCTAACATTAAAATAAATTCATTGAAAAATGCATAACAAACAAAAGTTCATTCGTGCAATCAACACAACACAATTTCATAAACACTTACAAAACATTTCCCAATAAAAATACAAATTACACATATTGATAAGCATAAGGATGCTTCTTATTCTAATTCATGAATAACTTCCAACTCCAAACTCAAATGTCTTGCTGGAATATTCATATTTGCATTAATGGAATTTGTGGAGTCAAAATGAATTGGGGGCACCTTCAATTCATCACCTTCTCTTTCTAGCATTTGTATCACTGTTTTCATGGATGGACGGCTAATTGGCTGCCATTGGATGCACCAAAGTCCCACAATTGCTAGTTTCCTTGCGATTATATGGTCATTTACATCTTCCATGTGAATATTAATATCCCCTCCTTCAATTAAATTATGAATCCATTTTGGATATAGAATTTCGCAAGCTTCTTGACTTGTGTGAATATTTTTCCTTCCTCCAACCATTTCTAACAACAACATTCCGTAGCTATAGATATCTGATTTATATGATACATTTCCAAAATTTTTTGAAAAAACTTCAGGTGCAATATAACCTAAAGTTCCTCTCGCCGTTGTTATTGACACAACACTTTGATTTTTAGAGCATAATTTTGCCAGACCAAAATCAGAAATTTTGGGAGTAAAATTGTGATCTAATAACACATTACCAGGATTGATGTCAAAATGAAGAATCCGGTAATCACAATCATGGTGGAGATATTCAATCCCTTTGGCTATACCAACAGCAATTTGCTGCAACTTTAACCATCCAAGAAAATTTTCTTTGTTGTCTGGGGAAGATATGGACTTTTGGAGGGAACCATTTGAAAAAAAGTCATAGACAAGAGCACGGTGGAAACCTTCGGCACAAAAGCCCAGCAAACGAACAACATTGATATGATGAATTTTACCCATAGTCCCCATTTCATTGATGAAGTCCTTGCGATCGTCATCAGAGTTATTGAGTACCTTCACAGCTACTATAATCTGATTAGATAGCTTACCTTTGAAGACTGATCCATGAGCTCCTTCGCCTATTTTATCCTTGAAACGGTTTGTAATTCTTTTCAAATCAGCATAAGAAAATCTGGTAGGCTTGAGAGCTTCGTAATCCTTCAAAAACTTTTCAAGTCTTGCATGATCATCTTGTTTCGTTTTGAAGTAGCGATATATCAGGAACACAATGCACATCACAAACACAATCGAACCTGAGTGGTTTCAGAGAACATTAATCAAACATTCAATTTCAATCCACGGCCATCCAAAAACGAAATGGGAAAAAATGAAGGTGAAGCGAAGTGATCTATTTTTACCTGAAGCTGGTAATACAAATTGGAATATCTTGCTGTGTTTGTGCTCAACATCACATTTGGGTTGGGACCATCTAAATTTAAATCTATTCAACTGAATACTATATTGGTCTAATCGAGAATCTAACTGACGCATCTTGGTGCAAAAGATTACGTCTTCCTTCAGGATACCTCTGGTGGAGTCAACAACATAAATCGGGCAAGTATGCATATCTTGGTGCGGGTAATCATCGTTTTTCAAGTGGTTCGACCCAATCGAGGAACAATCGAAAAAGGTAAGACTGGAAATTTCGTTGGATGATAACGATATAAATGGTTCAAATGGGAAAAAAGGATGAATGGATGAATTGTAAAGTCGTAGATAAAGTTCAGGAAGACAACCTCCAACATCACATAATTCTAAGAACCGGGACTTATAGTTTTTTGATAAGACGACGAGTCTAACTCCTTCAAGAGCTGGTACATCCGGGAACTCAACCATCTCCACGTTGTTAGTTTCAGTATGAAGAAAACAAGGATTGCTACTATCAAGTTTGGCCTGTTCGAGACGGAACGGAACACACTGCTTATGAGCATTCCCTCGATTCATAAGCAGAACCAATACCTGCATTATCACCAAACAAAAAAATCTCTGATAGCAGAACATTGTAACCAAAGCTTTTCTTTTAATTCAACTTAAATTCAGATTCCTATATATATACATATATAGATATATGTATATAAGTATTGATAACGTGGCATCACGTAGAGGAAGAGAACAGGGGAAGGGGGATGCTACTTGGAAACACCATTACCGCAGCGGACAAAAATTTCAGGCCAATTTTGAATTGAAAAAAACAACCACCACGTGACTCAGGAATCTTTTCCAAAAAGAAAAATCTGAAATGGTGAGGTTAAGGGGTTGTGATTGGCTAAAGCATATAATTTTTTTTAATGGTGAGGTTAAGGTATACTTATGTCTACCTTTGGGAGCTGCGATTAGAAATATAAAATTTCCTGCTTCATCTTGAGTTATTGACCAGTCAAACTTCGGGGATTAAAACTTAAAAGGAGCTCATTATTTATTCATGGGCTGCAACATGGTATAAAAAACTAAAAAAGAACGGGTTGGATTGATTTCAGATGAGAAGCCACTGAATCAGATCGGTGCATTGGCTATCATTCTGAAAAGAATGGGCAGAGGGAAAATAGGCTTAATCAGGTTCTGGGGCTTAGTGCTCCTCACTCTTCTATATCTAACACACCAAGCAATGAGTACTAAGGATCGGAGCAAAACTTGCACTCCGTCTCATTGCGGCATTATCGCAAACATCTCGTATCCATTTCGCCTGAGAGATGATCCAGCGAACTGCGGCGACCACGTATACGAGTTAGCCTGTGAAAACAACGTCACTCTGCTTCATCTGTATTCAGGAATATACCAGGTTATGGGAATCAACTACAACAACTACACAGTCCGACTCAAAGATCCAGGCATTCGGGAGGGTGATTGCTCCTCCCTCCCTCGTTATTTCTTATCCCGATCTAATTTCACCGACAGTTATAACTTTTCCTACGATTATGATAGCAATCATCCCTATCTTGTCGCTGTGGAACCATCAAACGATTCAAAACTTACATTCGACCACGTCATTTACCTGCACTGCAGCGATCCGGTGAGGGACGATCCACTCTACGCAGATACAGCGCCATGCGTAGGTAGGGAATCCAGAAGAGCAGGAGAAGGAGGAGGCCATGTTTATGCTGTGGTTGGAGACTTAGGAGCTGGCAGGTTGAAACCTGAGTGTCGTGTGAAATCAGTGGCCACCATTACTTCAGATTGGAGTTCATTCCTGAAAGGAGAAAGCTTCTCGTACGCTGATATTCACAGAGTGTTTTCCTATGGTTTTGAGATTTCATGGTGGAAAAAAGCTTGCTCTGATCTTCCTTGTCCAGCTAACGAGTATTGCTTGTTCGACAATAACGAGCAGAAGGTCCTTTGCACAAAATCTGAGTACTACTGTTACCGTTTCAACGAATTACCTTTTCCTCTCTTCTGCGGTAAGTCATTTCTTTTCCCTTTAATTTTGTCAGTACCTAAAAATTATTAAAATATATATTTTTAAAAATTTTAAAATAATTTTCACAATCAAACGACCCTTTATAATGTTGTTTTTTCCCAAAAGTTTAAATTTTAATATATTCTAAATATTATATAATAAAATTTCATATAGCGTTTGATTAAATCTAACATTTATTATTGTGTCACTTAAAATACTTGTGGAAGTACATTTAGGCCCCGTTTGGTATGATGGAATAGTTTTTGATGGAATTGGAATTGGAATTGGAATCAGAATTGGAATCAGAATTGGAATCAGAATTGGAATAGAATTGAATTATAAAAGTATGTTTGGTATGTCAGAAAAATTAGATGGAATCCTTGCATTACTTTTGTTTGGTATGCAAGACATGGAAATGGAATTATACTTAAAAGATAAAAATACCCCTATATAAAAATTAAAATAAAACATAATAAAAACTTAATTGTGTACCAATTTTCTTATGTATTTTATATATTAATAAAATATTATATAAATCATAGATTATATTTGTAACTATTATTCACTAGCTTGGGCCAAACAAAAAGTTTTATCATCAGAGGGAACATTTTCTTGAAAATAAAATTGGCAATGGTTCCCATCCCTTCTACTTTAAAATAAATACACTAACATGTAGATTTAGAAGAAAAATGTCAAACAAATCAATTCTACTTCTTATACCAAAAAAATATTATAAATATATAAATTATATACAAATATTATATATAATACCATCTTATATATATATTATAACGCTTTATATATAATGAGAAAAAATATTATTCACCCTTTTATACTCCCTTTTTCTTTTTTTTTTTGCTAGCATATGAGGGTTTTATTTTTTTTTTTAGGGCAAATTTGTCTTTCTGGAATTTGTATGAGGGCAAAAGTGTCTTAAACATTACAATTCCATAGAATTGCTCCCAATTCCATAGATTTACATAAGGAATCAAAATTAGCTTTTTTCCATAGAATTAGGATTCTCAGGAATTGTAATTCATATCTACCAAACATCACTTTATTCAGATTCCTATCCCAATTCCATTTCTATCTTCACAATTCCAACCTACCAAACATGGCCTTAGGCTAATGAGTGATGAATCTACATCCAGAACATACACTCAACGTGAAGTAATAGGATTTTTTTTATTAAATCTAAAATTTAAAATCCATGAATTTTTTAAAGTTTATCTTTCTGAAAAAGAGATTTATTTTATTAAAACAATACAAGGAAAAAATTTAAAATTTTTTTTATAAAATTTCTTGAATGTTGATTTGATATTTATTTTCTTCCATTTGTCTCCATTTTTTCTGTGTTATTTTTTATTGTTATAATTCTTATTTATAATTCTTATTTTTACTATTTTTCAAAATTTATATGAACTTATTTTTCTTATGAATAAGTAACTCATTAACTTGTGGGCCCAAAAAAAAAAAAAAAAAACCTCCTTAACTATTATTTCGACGCTAAGACGTGCCTAGACCATGGCAGCTCCTCTTTAAGCCAAAAAAGAAAGACCATAGGATAGCATGCCCCTCAGATTAATTAGAATAAAATAATAAGCAAAGCTGATTTGATGGGTGCAAGGAAGATAATTCAATATTTGATTTTTTATTGATATTTAAAAAAATTGTTTGAAAATATATTTTTTATAAAGTGTTATAAAAGTGATAGAGTCAAAAATTATTCTGAAAAATAAAAAAATTATAACATCTTTTTTCAAATGTTTTTTAACGTGCTACTCCATGTTAAGATCTTAGAATTTTGAGTTAATATTTTGTTTCACTGTTTCATACCGCAGGAAAGGCGGCACATCTGAGCTATCGTGTGCAAGGTGATATATTTTTTTATTCATTTTTTAATCCCCAGAATTGAATAGTAATAACAGTAGTAGTAATAATATATTTTCAATTTCACAACTTCGAAATGAGTGGCCCTTTCAATTTGTTCATGAAAACACCAATACTGAAAAAGCTAATTATCGTTTAATTTAAATATTAATTACTTTTAATTATTCTTTATCCTAATTGATCGATTTTGTTGAAATGATTTTAAGACATTCAAGATAAATTTTAACAAAGGTTTACCAGAAAATATTAATATATTATTCGTTTAATTGGCCAACACATATTGATTTAAAAAAAAAAGACTTTTAGTGTAAAAATAGAAAACATTGACACTGAATTTTAGAAACTTAAGTTATGATGAGGTCGGATAAAATATTTAGGTTTAGGTTCATTTTTATTCTTAAATTATTTTTGTAGAAGAATTCAATATTCTAAATTTTTTATCATAACAATATTGCCATTGAAATAATTAAATTATAATAATGTTGCCCCACGTTAAATGGACAAATATTGACTATTAATTTTGTTAACTCAAAAAAAAAAATTTGACTCAAATTATAACAATGTTATCTGAAAATAATTAAATCGTGGCATAGTGATATTGCCCCTGACATCAAATCTGATTTAGCAAAGTTAATGGTCAATACTTGTTCATTTAATATTAAAAGCAATATTACTATGATTTAATTACTTCAAAAGTAACATTGTTACAATAAAAAATTTAGAATATTTGGTGTTCCTATGAAAATAGTTTAATGACAAAAATAGACTTTAATCTTAATATTTATATCCTTGTAAGGTCTTGAAAGGTCATTCACCCTAAATAATAATTTTTATTTTAATAAATGCATACTGTAAAATAAAAATAATCTTTAGCTGTTTTGTTTAAATAAGTTTTCTATTTATTTATTTTTAAATCGATCTGGACCGTAATAATAGCGAGAACATAACTTCCCTTCCTGTATTTGTTTAATATAAAAATCTTACAGATATTGCTTTCTAAATTCGGAAACCTACCTATTATCCGTACATCTGACTTCTATAAAATTTCCTTTGCAGCATATCTTGTTGGTATTCTTGCAGGTATGTCTCGAACTCATATTATGTTTAAATATTATTATATAATCTATGTTACTTATTTATTTTGTTAAAGTTCTATCAGCTTCCTATTATATTTAGGCCTTCTACTTAATTGATTGATTTTAATCTATACAAATAAGTTCGCAAATTAAAATGATACATCCGGCCTATTATAATGGCAAATTTCATGAAGTTTATCTTTTTAAAGAAAGAGAGAAAAAAATTTATATTTTATAAAAAATAATAAAATAAGAAAAAATATGCTAAAAATGAAAAACTTTACAAAAATTTGTAAATCTTAACTTTAAAAAATTTATAAAATTTAAATCATGTTTTGATGCCTTTCGTCCCCCCCCTCTCTATATATATATATATATAAAGTTTTAATGTCTAACTAAGTAAAATATAAGTGATAATATTATGAGCCCTGCATTGAAGAGTTTTATAAGAAAAAATGAGGTATTCCCAATAGTTTGGAGTCTCTAATATTCCACTCATCCAATACCTCATACGAAATTCCATTTCCTTTAATGAATTTTTTTTTTGATAATTAGCTTCTAGGTATAATAAAACATATTTTGGTATATATCTTGCTCTTGCAATTACGGAACGGTGCAATTTTATATCCTTTATTTTTAAAAAAAACCCAAAATTGTTCAATTTTGATTTATTTTACAAAATTGTAAAAAAACAAAACCGTATTATTTTGTAATTGTTGTGATGCCTCTAATTTAAAAACAAAAATCAAGTGAATTGGGTTTGGAGGTTCACCAGAACTAAGGGATTTTTTTTAAATTTTAAAAAACGCTTAAGAGTTGAGATATATACATCTCATTTTATTTATAAGAGAATGATCAAAAGGAAAAAAGAAGAAGAAGAAAAATAAGAAATTGATATACTGCAAAGAGCATTTTGAGGGTTGGTGTTAAAAGCCCAAAGCCCATCCTCTAACCTAACATGATACTCCCTCATATTCTAATTATATGACAAAGTTTTGAAGTTTTTTTTTTTTAATTCTAAATATAAGGCAAAGATATAATAGTTATTTTTTTTTAAGATTACCCCTCTTTATTTGTGTCAAATTATAATTTCTAGACACGTTTTATTGTGACCATTAATTTTAGTGAAAGACAAAAATGAAAAGTCAAATACTTTTTTACAAATTTGAGGATATTAACTATTATTTTTTATAGTGTGTTTGGTTCGAGAGAATGAATGAATGGGAGGGGAATGAAGGGGAGATAATAATCTTTTTATTTTGGTAAAAGAAGATAATGATCCTTTGTTCCGATTAATTAAGAGGAAGGGAAGGAAGGATTTTAATAAACTTTTTTTGTTTGGGCTAGAATGGGAAAGGAAGATGAACTGAAAGTTGACAATCCTTATCAAATTTAAGTTGGTTTTTATTTTTGCTTTGATATATCAGTAGAAAAATAGTATTTTATAATTTATTAATTTCTTATTTTAAGGATGTTAAAATTTTCAAATTAATAATATTTTTCCTAAAGAACCAATATATCAATATCAAAACTACAATTCATTAGCGTTTCGTCTAATGAAAAAATATTAAAATTTTATCCACTAAAAAATTATATTTTAATTTTTAAAAAGTGATAAAATTTATTTTATTATAGAAGAGAGGGCAAGACAAAATATAGTTTTTTTTTTAATATCAACGGTGGTTTAGAATTTTCAATAGGACAAGAATAATTTAGTCCAGAAATATTCTCTCTCTTCCAAAAAAATCCCAAATTAGAGGGAAGGGGACTAGATAATTAGTCCATTAAATACTAACCAAACACACCTTTGAAAACTATGAAGTTCGTTTTCCTTTATAATTAGGATGGGAAGGAGTATTATTTTAAGATGGACTCACGTTTTAATCTTATACTTGGCGCTTTGGAAAAAATTAATTGGGCCTTCGTGAGTGCAAGTGCGAGATATCAAAATGTCTTTGGTTGTTGTAACATTTACACATTATTGCATCCTTCGAACGCTAACGTCCGTGAATATTGTCTTTTTTTTCCTTGCAGGTTTGCCATTTTTTAAGGATATTCATTGGAGTAAGATCCCTGAACTATAGGCACAATTATATGAAATTCAAATTTTTTTTATTTATAAGCATCATAATATTTATATAATTTTTATAGGTAACCAGATTAGTATATTCCATTATGACATAGAGTTTCAATATTAGGATGAGTGTGCAAAAACATCTAAAAAATTACCGGCCAAAAGCATTTAATAGTGTAAAGTGAGGAAAAGTACACAAGTGCTTATAAAGTTATTTTTTTCGGTGTATCTATGACTAAATTGCTAAAAGCCAAAGACGTTGGTAGTTATGTTTTGGATTTGAAATTTAACGATTTGGTCACTGATGCATTGAAAAAATAATTTTATGAGCACTCATATATTTTTTTTCACTTTAGGTTAGTGAACGCTTCTGGTCAATGACTTCTTGAATATTTTTGGCCCTTAATATTATATAGGACTAATTATTTTGATATACTTTCTCCATTAATGTAAAGCATTTTTAATTTAATTTCACCCTTTAATAAAGAAGTTACTTGTTTTCAAACTAATATTATCTTTTCATATTTACTCCTATTAAATAGGGTGTTTTACTTTAAAATAAATATTAAATAATTTATTTATTAGGACACTTTTCAAAAAAATTAATGATTAAAAAATTGGAATGAACTGGACGGTCAAATCGTTGACTTGTTAGGCTAACAACTTAGTCAAGCCGAAAAATTTTTCAAAGTTGGGCCAGATTGGGTGGCTTTGGGGCAATGGCCAGACTAGGAACAAGACCCATTTTTTTATAATCAGATTGCTCAAAAAATACCCTTTTCTTTTTTTATTAATTTTTTAATCATTTGATATTATATTATATCATGTGGTTTGTTAAGTCATGATAAACTTAAAATATTTAGTTTTATTTTTAAGTTAAATAGCAATTTTATATTTATTTTTATATTTAGATTATTATATACATATATAATTTTTTAATTTAATTATTAAGTCATCGGTTCGATCATGTGAACCGTGAATCCCTAGCCTTTTCGATTTAATATTCAATCTGGTTTTAAAAATATTGAAAAAAAATACAATGATTACATCTTAAAATACTAAAAATGTCTTATATTTTTTAACATCAAACTTTTTAAAAAATATCTTACATTTTTGAATAAATGGAGTATTATTTAACTATAAATCTTTGTCGTTTTTTTTCCACCACTATAAGTGTTTGTTGATAGATAAATATAATAAACAAATAGAAGTCACTGCATGTTGTAGAATCTATCTTTCATGTTTTTATACATGTCTTAAAAAATTATCTTCATATAAACGATGAGTTATATTAACAGTCATTTTATTCTAATTGTGTGTGTGTATAATTATTTAATTTTTATTTTATATATATTAATGTGTCTTAACTTTATTTTTGCACTTCAAAATGATTAATTTTACCACAACTTTTACTTTTTTCCAGGGTTCAAAAAGACTATGGATGAATGTAGCATAAAAGTACTAAAAAAGTCAACAATTTACAAGTTACTCAAGTAAAAATAACAAGAAGATATGGGATGATATAATTAAATTTAGGAGAATAAATGATAGCCAAGCCTTATTCTGATATGTTATAGTGTTTTAGTATGTTTTATTCCTCAATCCAGTGATTAAATTTTGAAAATAAGTGTATTAATAAATATATGTTCAAAAATTGACTAGGGTAATATATATATATATATATATGCTTATGAAAAATTAAATTAGGTAATTTATCACCTTTTAATTATAAAAATAAATTATGCATAGGTCATGCAAAAAGGAAAAAAAAAAACACTGCTATAAAAAAATATTTTAGACCGTTTACTTTTGACTTATGAAAATATTTTTGCAGCCAACGCCCCTAAATATAGGAAAGCACTTATGGGACAAAGCATTCCTATAGGCTTTTTCGAACTTCTTGTTTAGGAGGCCTAGAGCACTTTGTAGAGAGGATTGTGGGAGTGCTTTTTTTTATTAACACGCTCTGAAATGGGCACTCTTATAAATTATTTTTGTAATAGTGAAATGTTTTCTTTAAATTAAAATATAGGTTGTACTCTATATCTTATACCTGAAAAATAAGGCTTTCTAGAAATTTTATATGTGTGTATGTATAGATTTAAAAAGAATTTTTTTGAGTGACTTTGTTAATTAAGCATATTTTTGGGACAAACCAATTAATTTTATGACCTTTTTGGAAATATACCCGTGCAGTTGCAGATTCAGTGTATTCAACAATTGAGTCCCAGGCTGAGCATAACGGTGGGAGCAATTTCAATTCAACACATGTTGCTTTCGACTTAGGAAAAATCACAGGAAGATATGTTTTGCCATTCACTATTCTAATTATTCTAAGATTCCTGGTTGGTATATTTTTTCTGTCCATCTTGTTGATTTACACATGTCGGAGGAGGCACTTATCTGGGTATGAAAACATTGAAGATTTCATACGCCTTCATCACAACCTTCATCCTTTGAGGTACTCCTACAAGGATTTGAAGACAATGACAAAAGGTTTCAAGAATAAGATTGGTGAAGGAGGCTTCGGCACTGTATACAAAGGCAAGTTAAGGAGTGGATCTGAAGTTGCCATTAAAATGTTGGGTAAATCCAAAGCTACTGGCCAAGAATTTATCAGTGAAGTGGCAACTATTGGGAGGATACACCATTTTAATGTGGTGCACCTTGTTGGATTTTGTGTGGAAGGAATGAAACGTGCTCTTATTTATGAATTCATGTCTAAGGGATCTTTAGATAAATATATTTTTGCTAAAAAAGGAAGTGTTTCATTGAGTTATCGCAAAGTATATGAGATATCATTAGGTGTGGCTCGAGGGATTGCTTACCTTCATCATGGTTGTGACATGAAAATATTACATTTTGATATCAAGCCCCACAACATTCTACTTGATGACAACTTCACTCCAAAAATTTCAGATTTTGGTTTGGCAAGATTATATTCTATTGAGGATAGTATCGTAACATTGACTGCAGCAAGAGGGACAATTGGGTACATGGCCCCTGAGTTATTCTACAAGAATATTGGAGGGGTGTCTTATAAGGCTGATGTTTATAGTTTTGGAATGCTTTTGATGGAAATGGCAAACCGAAGAAGGAATTTGAATCAAGATGCAGAACATTCAAGCCAAGTTTATTTTCCCTTATGGATTTACGATCAATTTGATGAAGAGAAAGATATAGAAATGGAAGATCTAACAGAAGAAGAGAAGAATTTGGCAAAGAAAATGTTCATTGTTGCTCTTTGGTGTATACAATTGAAGCCTACTGATCGTCCTTCAATGAACAAGGTAATAGAAATGTTAGAAGCAACTGATGTTGAGAGTTTTGAAATGCCTCCAAAACCTTCTCTATATCCTAATGAAAGAGTTTTAATGGATAGCACTTCCAACTTCAGTGAGACAACATCCATTATCTCTACACAATCTCATAGTAGTCTAGGTGAGTGTGCAAATGATGGGCAATAATACTTCGTAGTCCTCAATTTGTATTTGATAACTTGATCATTTCACTACCTTGTTTGAGTTTTGCTTACATAATATAGCATTCCATATTCATTATTGATCATGTTTTAATGATATGTGCAAAGATTATGATCATTATATCTTCAAAGTCACGCATGAAATAGCTCCTTTTTGGCTCTTCTAACATAAATATGTTGCATCTAACTAGTATATATGCGTATAGTATCTTTGCTTCCTCCAACTCTGTTCTCTGTTTACTAACGCTAATTCTGACATCTCACATTTACTAACTCAACAGAGACACCGAACAGAGGACTTAAGATGTCGTTTCATGAAACTTAATTATAGCTTTCACAAATCTCTTCATCTCTTGGGACCTCAAAGTAGTTGAAGGTCTTATCTTTTGGGACTATTTTATATTAAATGAAGAAGAAATTTAGGGTCAAAAGTCAAAACTAAGATTTGGAACTCCATCGCCATGCCTTCTATTGGAACGAAGATTTAGAGGCATGTCACACTTTCATCCATCATGTTTGATTCTCTCTTGCCTTATTTCGTCTAGAGACCTTGGTTGCTAAACAGCAAACCAAACATATATTACATTTTATTACATAACATTCCATTACCATATTTTCTTTAAACCAAACAGGGTCCTATAGTTGTCATGTTCAATTTATGAATACCCCTTTCCTTAAGCTTAAACTTGTGACTTCTTTCTTCTCCATGATATCTTTAAACTTGTCCTTTTATTAGTTGAGATGAAATGTATTTGCAATCTTTATAAAAAATATTAGATATAAGTTGTTTAAATACACACATTAATTAATATATTATTCCAAAATATACAAATATTTTATTTACAGTTATTTTCAGTTTTCAAACTATGAAGGAAATCCTAAACAAAAAATTTACCTAGTTTATAAAATATTAAGAATTAAATATAATTCTTTATTCTTATCCAAAAAAAATATAATTCTTTACACGTGTGACTATTAAATCTTCTTTATCTTTGTATTAAATTTTCCATGTGTGACTGATAAACGACATAAATTATTTGTCTTGTGCATTTCAGTCATTATATTTTTTTTAAAAAAAAAGACCTTGATCTAATAGAATAATTTTAAATATTTAAAGTCTTTTTTCATATAAATAACTTTCCATGGTTTTTTGTTAGCGTAGTTCTCCCAAACAAAGTTTTAATCCAAGAACGCTAAGCCCTGACTCAAGCCCAAATGTCAGAAGTGGTCTGGTCCAATTACAAAGGATTCTAGGCCTGCTTGGGTAATTATAATCTACCTCTCATTTTATATACATACATACATACATACATACATACATATATATATATATATATATAACTCATCTATTAAAAAAGAATTAATGGTATTTTTTTGAATAGAAGGCCACGAAAAAACCGTATAGATAGACAGATTAAGTCATATCAATGTACAAAAAGTTTTTACAACTAGAAGGTGTACTATCAAAAATCTGAACAGTTGAGTTGTCAAAAAAGGTTTGATGGGTCATCTAATCTGCACATTTGTTAGCCTATCTAAAAACATGATCAAAAGTGATTGACCAATCATGCATAAGAAGATCTCTAACTTTGTTAATAATTGCAGGAAGCAGATGAATATTAGAAAACTCATTAAATATGAGCATAATTGTTTTAGTAGAATCAGAGTAGATATTTACTCTGTTAAACTTCTCTACCCAGCAAATATTGAGTCCTTCAAGGATGCTCATAATTTCAACTGCCATGCTGGATGGCAACCAAGAAATTTAGTGAAGCCTTTGATTCATCTGCTTTGATCATCTTGAATGAGACCACCACAAGAAGCAGCCTCTTGATTGTTGACAGAGCCATCTATATCAAGTCTTACCCAATCTTTTTCAGGGAAAACCATTTGGCTTTTGTTCTATCACCCTGTTGAGTCAAGAAATTGATTCTAGATTGAAGGTACTAATCATTAAGAATATCTTGGATGTTGGCGAGAGCAATGTCTCTCTTAGGGGTATCATCTTTAGAGTAAATGACTTTGCATCTCTCTTTCCAAATATTCCAACACACATGAGCGAAGAGCTTCTGCCAAGAGATATTACGTGTTTACCCGCTTCTTTTTTCGCATTCCAAAGAATCTACTCCTGTAAAGATAGAGAAAAGAAAGTGTTTAGTTCAATATGTTTAACTAGTCTTAACCAAACCTCTTTAGATCTTTTGCAATCTCTCAAGATATGAGTGGTGGAATCCAAAGAATTACAACCAAAAGGAAAATTTTTAAGAGAAGGATTATTTCCATTAGAATAAGAGAATTTAGGCTGAAGTCCGTCCCAAGCTGCTTTCCAAAGAAAGGATTTGATCTTCTCATAAGTTGGTCACTTTTAAATCTTAGACCAAATTTCAGAGCTAATGGTGTCGCAATGATTTTCAATAGCCTTGTAAGCAATTTTGATAGAAAAATTGCCATCATTTAAAGGTCTCCAGCATATAGCATCATCATCTACATTAGAGGTCAGAGGTTGAACAATAGTGACAAATTTGATGACTTTTGGATGAAGATATCTGCATAATTGGCCTATTTTTCAAGTACCATTATTATCACAGAAATCAGAGACTCTAGCATGAAGGATGGAATCATGAAGCATATTTGACAAAGGGATCTAGAAGGGGACACTATTTGTCATACCAAAAAGAAACTTGATCCCCTTTTCCTACCTTCCACCCCACGTGAGTAATGAACTGCTCCCAGACTTTACAAATATTGAACTATGTGTAAGCGCTAGAATTGATTTTGCAAACCATGGGAATGATAGGATTATTGCATTTGTATTTATCACACAAGACACGAAACCAGAGACAATTGGGTATCGTTATAATTTCTCAACAAAGTTTCATAATATAGACCATATTTTGGCTCTTAAGCTTTTTGAACCCAAGACCTCCTTGGTTTTTGTTTTTGGTGATCAAGTCCTAAGATAGTAGATGAGGCTTTTTGGTCCTGTCAGTAGAGTCCTAAAGGAAGTTGTGAGAGTGAGATTCCATTTTAGTCAGGACATTATCAGATAAAAGCATAGTTTGCATGGCATAACTAGGAATAGAAGATAGAAAAGACTTTATAAGAATAACTTTCCCAATATTATTAAAATAGCAGCATTTCCAGTTGGTTAGGCAAGAGTTGATTCTGTCAAGCAGGGGAGCAAAAGTGAGTTTTGAAACTCTTTCATGGATAATAGGAATCTCTAAATATTTTCCTAGATTTCCAGTTAGGGGAATTCCTAATTCCTCACTTATCTGTAAGGCTCTATTAATGTTGACATTTTTGGAGCAGTAGAGCTTGGATTTGGAAAAATTAACTTTTTGTCCTAAAGCTTTACAAAAATTGGAGAGACATCATTGGATGATCCTTGCTTGATCAAGAGAAGAATCTACAAAAAGAAACAGGTCATCAACAAAAAATAGATGTGAAATTGGAGGACCATTAGTTGTTACTCTAATAGGTTTTCAATCTTCTTTATCAATGCTATTTATAATGCTATGACTTAATCGCTCAATACAAAGAACAAAGAGATAGGGTAAAAGAAGATCTCCCTGTCTAATGTCATGTATTGGCTTAAATTCTCCTGTTGGTGCCCCATTTCAAAGAACTCTCATTCGTGTGGTTGATATGGCTGCCATAATGAGTTTTCTGATAGACTTGTCAAGATTAGAATTTATTCACTTCATCCCTTTAAGTCTCTTTCTAACTCTATCACAACATAAAACTCAATATCTCAACTTATCACACTTCAACACCCTATGATCAAGTTGGGGCTTGATCCAAAATTCACCAAACAAGAAAGTAGCTTCCTATTACCACATATCCAAGATCAATAAACCTAAATTAAACCTTTAAAGTCAATATAAATCTTTAAAATATTGACTCATGGCTTAATCTAATCAGATCAAATTCTCACTCTTCTAAATCCCATGAAAAATGAGATGAAAAGGTAGAGGAGAAGGGTAGGAAACTTACCCAAGAGTTTGAAAACTCAAATCATCTTCAAAATCCTCCCAAATTGATGTCCTAGTAGTGCCCAAAGTTACCCCCTTCGTGCTCTAGGTTTTCCAACCCAAAATCTGTCAATTTTTGATGATTCTTGAAAATTTAAGTTGCCTGCTGTGTCGTGCGCTGCAGCGCACGCCACGCAAGCCGCGGCTCATGACGCAACAAGCAACAACTTGATTTTGCTCCCCCCGATGCCTCCCGACTTGATCCGACTTTCATCCTATCTTAATTTAGAGCCAAATATGACCCAAAAATCTAATTAGCCACTCAAAAATATAATTAAATAAATTAATCATATTTATAACTAATTTATCCTTTAATTAATCTATTTTTCAAGATTTAAAGTTTTAAGATGTTACATCTAGTCCTTGTGAAAGTTAGTTGTCATATCCCAATCGTCGTTGTTGATCTGGTCATCATGGAAGTCGGCCATCTCATCTCGATCGCCACCGTCTATCCAATCCTAATGGAAGTCGATCGTCCCATCCTAGTCAACAATGGCAACTTGTTTTCATCAACTTCGATGGTCCGGTCCTATTACTGTTGGTAAGTTGATTAAGCCTTCATAGATTTGGATCAAAATACAAAAAAAATTTAGTTAAGATTTAAAATAATAAGGATCTAGAAAGAATTTTAAATTACCAACAAACTAAGGCCCAAATTCAAATCCATACATTATTAATTACCCAAATAATAAATTTGACTTAAATTTAAATTTAAATTCATGTGTATCCAAACACAGCATTAAGTTTTCTAAGCAAAATATAGCTGGATACACTTTTGAATAATTTTATTCTATCAAAATACGGCAAAATACACACAAGTCAAATTTGAAATAGCTGAAACGACAATTTTAGGAGAATAATAATAAAGTCCTAAAAATATTAATGATAGTTAAGGCTTTAATAAAAAAATTTATAAATTAAATTATAAAAATATGAATTGTAAATTAATTATTATATTTAAAATTTAAATATTATATTTATAATTAAAATTTTTAAATTTATAATTATTTGAATTGATATTTATATTTTTTTAAAAAAACTTACT